AAGGTGCTATGACATCACAAGATGTTGTAATGTTATGGGATAACTATCATGGATGCAGTTCATTATTTTTTTGTTTTTGCAGTTCATTGTTAAGTGAAACACCACTATGCGCCATGACTATAGTCAACATATAATTAGATATGGGTTTTAAAAATCTCTGTCTTTTAATTGGATTGTTTAATCCATTCACATTTAAAGTCATTGATATTGCTAGATTAATGTCTGATTTATATTTTTTTGCTTTGTTCTTTTTTACAGCTTTTTATTGTATTATTATTTTTTTAAATTTTTATTTTAAAGAGAATAAAACAAAAGAAAACAGAACAAAGCAAATCGGAATAGAAGAATGCAAGCACACAGCTCTTCACAACAAGACAACCGGACATCAACAGTAGCTACCATAATGTTTCTTTTCTTCAAAATAGTTGAGCATACCTTCACGCACAATAATATCAAACATATCAAAATAGTATAAAACCATTCAAGAGAGTGAAAGTATTACAGGACATTCCAGACTAAATAACAGAAAATGAACAATGGCTACTATAATATCTCATTTTCCTAAAAAAATCTGTCCACATCATCACACATAATAAAATCAAAGAAACCACAACAGGATAGAAAAAATCAAAACAGAAAAACAAAAGCATGATAGGACCTCAAGATAAGGTGATAGGAAACCAGCAATGGCTACTATACTGTGTTGTTTTTTTCAAAGTAGCTGTTCATACCATCACACATAATAAAATCAAATAAAACAAAATAAAACCAATCAAACAGACCAATGAAAGCATTATAAGACTTCACAGCAATATAATAGGAAACTATGGTTACCATAATATATCCTGTTATATTTAAAATAGCTGCCCCTATCATCTGACAACATAAAAATCTAACCAAACAACACAGAACAAAGCCAAACCTAACAAAATTGTATAAATAATACAAGAGTTCAAGACAAGACAATAAGAAATTGACAGTAGTTTCCACCTTTCCCTCCCAGGTGTTTCCTCCCCTTTGTTCTTACGTTAACTATTTTGCTTTTGGATCCCATTAACTCCTTGTGTTTCTTATGCTAGGGTTCACACATATGATTTTGAACTGTTTTGGCCATGAACATGATCTCCAGTTGCATCCATTTACCTACAGGAGCCTTGAGATTATTCTACTTTACAGCTGGGTAGCTTTCCACTGCATGAAAATACCATAGCTTTCCTATCCATTCTGTGATTGATGGGCAAGTTAATCTTGCTTTTTTGGTCTCCTGTCACGTGGAACAATGGTTTTTTCTCCTTTGATTTTCAGCCTATTAAATTCCTTTTGAGTTAAATGTGTTTCTTGTATACAGTATATTGGTGGACCTTGTTTCTTGATCCACTCTCCCTGTTTTTCTTTTTATTGCTGACATGAGGCCATCTACATTAGTAGTTACAACCGGCATACATTGGTTTGTCTCTGCCCTGCTATCCCCCTGTTGTTGGCCCTCCACTTTTCCCCTTCATTTAATTGCCTGTGTTGTTTGGCAACCCTCCTCTGCTGCTATTTCTGGAAACATAGTCATCTTTATCTCTCTTGAGACTATCCTTTATCACTCTGTGTAGGGTTGGTTTGGTAGTCATGAATTCCTTCAGTTGTTCTTTATCATGGAAGTATCTTATTTTCCCATCAATTTTGAAAGATAGTTTTGCTGAGTAGATCAATCTAGGTTGGAAGGTGTTTTCTTTCAGTGTTTGAAACACTTCAAATTCTTCTTGACTTGATGGTTTGTGTTGACAAGTCTGCTGTGATTCTGATTGGCTTTCCTATAGGCAATCTGTCTCTTTTCTCTAACAGCTTTTAATATGCTTCATGCACAATAATATTCTTTTAATATTCTGTTCTTGTGCTGAATTTCTGGGATCTTGATTATTATATGTCTGGGTATGGATTTACTTTGGTTATGGCTAGTCGGAGTCCTATATGCCTCATTTATCTGCATGCCAGATCCATTTCCCATATTTGGGGAGTTTTCTGCTATTACTTCTGTGAATAACATTTTAATTTCATTTATGTTGACCCCTGCTTCTTCACTGATACCTATCATTTATAAATTATGCTTCTTTGCATCATCTTGCAGCTGTTGAGTTGTTATTTCCTGATTCTATATTATTTTTAAGAGATCTTCTCTTTCTTAATTGCTAGTCGTGATCCTGTTTTCAAGATTTGAAAGTCTATCTTCAGTCTCTTTCTAGCAGTTTTTCAATTGAATTTTTAATTTCCTGTATCTCTCTTTGAATCTGTTTCATGAATCGTAATACCTTTCTACATTCATTCAAAGTTTCCATCATTTTCCTATGCTCCTCTTTTTTGTCTCTGTCCTTTTTAGACCTGCTGAACAGTTCTTTCATTATGTTTGTGATTTATTCTATTATATACTTTTATATTATATATTTTTATATTATAAAATATACATTATAATATATTTTATATTATAAATAATGAGATATAAATTATTTCTGATCTGACTGCCTTTACAGTCTCATGAAGTTGTTTCCTTACTTCAGTTGCTATCCTCTCAGAGATTTCAGAGTGTGACTTCTGTTTTCTTCCATGCCTGTATCTCCCAGACTTGCTCTGTGTGGGCTGGAGTTCTGAGATTGCCTTTTGCTCCTTACTCTTGATATTCTCTTGGGTTCCTCCCAACAAGCTGGTTATGGAGCCCCAGGCACTTCCTATGTTGGCTTTTCCCGGGTAGGGGGATGGGACTGATTTTGGATTTACAGGGAGGTGGCAGGGGATGGAGCAGGCATCTCCAGACCTGGGGCAGCTACACTGGGGCTTCACTGATGATCAGGTGTGCTTGGAGTTGGGGCTGCTTCTCACTGGTACTCCTGTGATGGAGTGTGTTTGTCTGATTCTGCTAGTGGGTGATGGATGTCTCAGGGAACCAAAGGCCTCCAATGGGGGTCAAGGATGCATAGGGCTTACCTGGCTGTTTGTCCCTGATCCTGCTGGCTGCCTACAGGAAGGAGTCTTCTGGTGGCAGCTCCCTGAAGTTGAAGGCAGATCTGCTGGTTCTCTGCCCACGCTGGCCTTCTGCAGGACATGGCCTTTTGGTGGTGGTGCACAGATCTATATGTCTCCCTCAACCTGTGCTGGACACGTGGAAGAAAGGGCCTTTCAGTGGCAGTGCCCAGCAGGCAGAGGCAAATCTTCTGGCTCTCCCTGTCCATGCTGGGCACACAGAGGAAAGGACCTTCTGGTGGCGGCACCTGGCAGGCAGAGGCGGGGCTTCTAAGTGAGTATTTTAGTTTAGTATTTTAGTTTCTTTAGAGATTGATATAGTTTCTATCTAGAGTCCCACCGCAAAGCCTCCTGCAGTCATAGATGGGGCTTTTCAGAGGTGGCTGGATCTCAAGTGTGTGATGCTTGGATTAACTGTGTATAGTTACTAACTTGTACGCTGATTGGTTTGGCATAGTTCTGGGTGTGTGGACTATACCTATAAAGGCCAGCAGCCCAGAGTGCGAAGGGACAGAAAGGAGCTGATGCTTTTGCTTGTTGCTTGCTGCTGCTGCTTCTGTTGTTGCTGCTTGATTTGTGCTGTCTCCTGCCTGCTTGATGATGTCCTCTGCCATGCCATGCTACCTTAGAGCCAGCCAATTATGGACTAAAACCTCCATAAACTGTGATCTGAAATAAATGTTTCCTCTTTCAATTTGGGGTATTGAGTGTTTGTCTCAGCAATAAGAAAAGTATGCAACACTGATATTTTGCATTATTTTCATATATGTTTTAACGCTCCAGAATCAACTTCTAGATTATTAACATTTGTTTTGTTGCTTTTTGTGCTCTTATTGTTATTATATTGCATTTATAACTTACAAATCCAGTAATGTTTTTGTTTCTGGCTGTCATTGTTTCTGATGGGAACTTAGTTATAAATTTATTGTGGTTCCCTTGCATCTGAGTCATTTTTATCTTGTTGGTTTCAAGATTTTTCTCTTAGCCATTGACTTTTAGCATATTAATTATGATGTGTCTGGATATGGATCTCTTTGTGTTAGCTCCCTGGAATTTTGAATCTCATAGATGTATAGATGAATGGTTTTTTAAAATCACATTTATGAAGTTTTCAGTCATTGTTTCTTTTTTAAAAAATTTTATTTATAGAAAGACAAAACAGAAAATGGGTAGAAATAACACATACTTTCAAAGAATAAATAAATAGTAATAAAACACTAATTGATGTTTACATATTGTCCTCTTACAAATAATTGTTCAAGATACAAAAGTGGAACATATAAATAGGAATTCAAACAGAGAGACTGCAAATAGTCTGTTCAACTATCTAATAAAAACTTAGTAATATGGTTATCAATCCTATACATGAAAACATACACGCATTTATCCATATCTTCATTTATGTTAAGATTAAACAAACCAAAGCAGACTAAAATCACTCTGAACAAAGAATAATAGTATTGCTGGATTTCACATCCTGACACTCCAGAATCAGCACTGGGTACTGTACCTTTTTTTTCTTTCAAAGTAACAGTCATTGTTTCTTCAAATATTTTTATTATCATATTTCTACTCTGTTTCTGGTATGATATTCTCTTTACATTCATCTTATGCTTACTGGTGTTCTACGTTTCTCTGAAATGCTATTTGCTTTCATCCTTTTTCTCTTATTCTTAGATGGCATAATCTTCACTGATCTAGCATCTAGCTCACTGTTTTGTTCTGCTACTAAAAATCTACTGTTGAGCCCTTCTACTACATTTTTTCTTTTGAAGATAGAAAGAAAAAATAAAACATAATTTCAAAACAAGATTGTAGGCCAGTAACTGTAATCCTACTTTATAATTCTAGAATTTTGATGAGTTATTTTTAGTTACTTTTTATCTCTATCGATATCCTCTATTGGGCAGAGCACTGTTCTTTATTTTCCTAATGATATTTTCACTTAGTTATTTGAACATGTTTGTGATAAATACTTTTGCCATTTTGTTCTGCAGGGTGGTGGCGCTGGGGCCAGTGGCCTGCTTCTTTTGGATTGCCTCTCCTGCTTTACCAACAGGGGCTGGATGACAGCACTCACTCATCATCTTCACCACTTTCCTCACCTGGAATTCACCCTCCACTCTTCCAGTCTAATAGGGTTAATGAGGTAGGACATCAGTATTCTTCGTCTCTTGTGCCTTTAGTTGAGCTTACCCTCTACAAATGAGAACTGGATCAGTAACAGATTTATAGTTACATAACAATCTAAAACATATCAGAAAGTGATACACAGTAAATATCCCCTCAGTAGAGTGATCTTACCCTCAGGACAGAAAATGTAGAGGGGAGAAGAGAAAAAATTAGAGGCATGAAAGATGACAGAGAGATTGAAGGACAAGAAAGATTGACGAAGCTTTGGGAAAGTGATGAGGAAGACAGAAGGGAAAGAAGCAAAAACAAAAACAAGATGTAAACAAAGACAATATCCACACTCATGAAAAGTAAAAAACACTCAAGAAAAAAGAAAACCAGCAAACACAAAGAGAGGAAAAAAGGAGATTTTCTGTGATTAAGCCTGTGATTATGTCTGGGGCAACAGTCTTGTGAGTGTTTAATTCACTGCATGTCTCCACTGTCTCTGCTAGACAAAGAGGCAAACAGAGCCCAGATCCCCACTATAGCATCCAATGAAGCCTCCGTCAATGCTGGGCGCTGGTAATCTCAGCAAGCCTGCTGTATGAATAGTGCAGTTTGCCCATTCTGGTGTTTTCAACTCTAAAGCAGTTCAGGCTGACCCTGGCCTCTGGTGGTGGGTTTGAGGCCTGAGATTTTCAGCCTACAACTCTCTGAGTTTCTCTTATCAGCCTGACTATGGCTCCCTGACACTGATGACCCCTGTTGTTCTACCTCATCCAGTCTCCCGGAGCCTTGAAAGGAAGGAAAACCCACAGCTGCTCTGAGTCCCTGGTTCAGTTAACCCCTAAACAGCATCTGGCCAAAACTCTCCCGCGGATGCTTAAGTGGAGTTGCCAGAGACATAGCTCACAGCATTGACTCCTCCATCCAACTGGTGTGCTTTTCCCTGGAGTCTCTGGAATCACCCACAGTGGAGCCCCTGTAGTTATCCTTTAGATCTACAGCGTGTTTCTGTAGATTTGAGCCTCCTCTCTCATGCTGCACTGGGAGTCCAGAAGGAAATGCACTTTGCTCCCTCCTTTTGAAGTCTGTCTCTTTCCCTGTGGACTCTAATTCTCCTTTCGGATCCTCCCTGGGTCTTGGGGATCCATCTCTCTGCTTTTCTACCTTTAGCTGTTATATTCCAGTGTCTGGAGTCCCAGTCTCACAGAGGTTGACTTCCTACTGTTTATCACTCTGCCATCTTCCCGGAAGTCTTAGTTGTATGAATTTTAACTAAGTTTTCAAATGACAGTGTCCTTATTTGTAAATAAGACCACTTTTTCACTATATTGCTATAAGAATTAAATGAAGTACTTTTTACTGAAATGTTTCTTATGTTAGTATTCCCAGCAAATGAGGAATACTGTTGTTACTTATACTTGAAGAATGCATCTATAGCCTAAATATTCAAAAAAGACATTTAAGTGTTACCATCTTCCCAGTGAGATTATAATACTTAAGCATTGTAGAGTAGTCTAATACTATCATTGACCCCTAATCCCTTGGAAAAACAAATGTTTCAGAAAACTCTGGCTAGGAAATGAGATCCTTTGTAGAAAACAAGTGTAGTATGTCTGCACAGACTATGCTGGCAACACTCTACACAGTGAAAATCGGGTGTAAGTATAATGAAAGGCAAGAGCTCCTTGTTCCTGTGGTTTATTCTCAGAGTACTGACTGTTCTCTATGAGCCCTCCTGCAACATTCCTAATTCAGTCTTCTTTCTTACTCCTTTGTCACTCTAATATTGCTACACCGGGTTTCCTTACAAGGAAAAGGGAAATGTCATTGCAGCAGACGCATTCACTACAAATTAGGTTAAGAATGTGGCTCAACCCTGAAATTCATCCACAGACTCGACAGGTGGGATCTATTTAAAAGTCACAATGTCCATGGTTGAAGAAGTCAGTGTACACCAACAGCTAATTTAAGGAGGATTTAATGGGGCAGTACTGTTCTAGACAGTGAAGATAGACAGTAAACAAGATGAACAAAGGGTTCATGATGATCCTGTGAGCTAATATTATTCAATCATTAAACTGTTACAGTTTTAGAACTCTTTTTATTATGGAAATTGTCAAATGTACAAAGCATGAAGAAACCTTGCTATTCTTATCAATCAGCTCAGAAATTATCAACACATTGGCTAAGCTTGTTGAATCTGGGATTCCTTTACTTCAAAATCTGTTGAAAGGCATTGTACACATACTGTGATTTTAACTTTTCTCCTCTGGTTTGTGATTTTTAAAAGATCAGGACAAAGCTTTTAATTGTTTCATTCTTGGCATTATGAGAATAATTTTCATTTTTCTCAGTGTGATATCCTCCTATGGTGTCTTAGTTACTTTTTACTTGTTGAGACAAAATACCTGATGCTCAAAGTTGGGAAAGGAAAGATTTATTTCTTACACTTTTTGGAGGTTTCAGTCCATACTCATTTGGCTCCAAGGCAGAGTGGCATGGCAGGATCACAGTTCATGTGGCTGCAAACAGCAAGGAGGAAACTGCCAACAGAGAGAGACACGCCTTCTTCCTGCCATTACATTGTATGCTGGCTCCACCCCTAGGTGGATGTAGCACTGACACCAGCAATCCAAGCACTAGACAATGAACCAACCACAAACGCATAAGGCCTGGGGGTCACCGACATAAACCATGACATATGGGAGGTGCAGGAGGACCCAGTGCTTATTCATCCAGCCCTGTACTGAATTTCTAGAACACCTTCTTGGCCTCATTTTTTGCTTCCAGTATGCAGTTGCCTCATCTCAGTCATATGATGAACAATGAGGGATGAAACAACTTGTTAACCCAAGGACTTGGTATGATTCTGAACCCTAGAGTGTGTAATTATTGTAATTAATCCTACACATGAGAACTACTATTGAAGCTCTGTCTTCTCTCTCATGTATATGTATACATAGTTATACATATGTGTCAGATATTTATTTACATTTAAATATGCATTGCACACACTGTGGTGAGCATGACCATGGTACAAACATGAAGGATTTCATCTCCTATAGGTCTGTATTCTGTTTCTTTTCTACAGATCTGGCATTTTACCACTTATCCTGCCCCAGTTGTTCCCCTAAAGACAAGCCTGCAACCTCAACAGCTGCACTGGCTTAGGTTCTGCCACTGTTGTGCTGTGTAGAATAATCACCCTTTGACCTCCCTGCCTCTCTGTGTGTCTGAAGTGTACAGAGTTCCATCCTTTGTAACTCCCAGACCCACATTCCCTTCCTTCAGGAGAGTGACACTTCTCAGTTCTGTTTTACTCGGAAAATCTAATTTTACAGAAATTTACCGTGACACTTCCTGCAGGAGAGTGACACTTCTTTCAAGGGTAAAACTATCCTAATAAGGTTAAGAGAAGTAAATCATACTTTTAAAAAATCCGTCTTTTGATCTCAGCTATTTAAAGAAAGAAAAGTAAGAGAAAAACTTGACAGGAAATACATAAACACCATCATGATGCAAAGACGTTAACTTTTGCTCTGTTATTTCTAGTTACTTTTAAACAGAATAGCATAATATTGCATACTTTTCATTATCAATAGGAAGAAAGTAAGGCAAAATCCTAAAAATCTCTTCAAAATTATAAAGAAGACTAAAATGGTGTTGAAGCATTTTATAAGACATCTCAGTCAGAGCTTGTGGCATGTTACTGGGCCCTGGTGGAGTTAGAATGTTGAACTACACAGCACCAAGCATACCTCCAGGATGGTCCATTATGGCATGCCCTTATCTAAGTTCCACAAGTTGTTCAGACTCGAGCACCAATTCCAGTCATAACGTGTCAGTTTCTAAATTTGACTCAGCTTTCTTATTGTTGCTTAATATTCAAGGTAAATCTTTTTATATTCTTAATGTTTATTATCACTATCTCTCAATAATTGCGATTGAGACTGCATCTAACATGGTAAATTTCTGTAAAGTTTAATTTTCCAACAAGTAAAACAGAACTGAGAATAGCCAGGAGCTAGAGTTATGAGGTATGTGACATTTTACATTTACTCCTGGTTCATGATGCCAAGAAGATTCGACTTTCACATTTTCAAATTCATCAAGTTATTAATTTGAGGCTCAAGACCAGATAAGCATGGGAATGGAAGTAGGATTTGGGAAGGCTCAAGGGCAGACAAGGATCAGAGATTCAACTGGGAACCAGGAGTGGAGTAGGGTATTTATTGCTCAATTATATAGTAATTTAAAATAAACTGAACATTTAACATTTGTTGATCTGAGTTGTAAAGTTTTGCACACACCGAGTTGGGACAGCTTAATTTTTATATGGTACACATTAAATTATGTATCATATATCTCGCTTGGGTTTCAGTTAATAAATAATATATAATTTTATTAGTGCTGTGTTTTTAGAAATATTGACAGTTTTTACTTTGATTGATCATTTTGTTTTTTAAAAAAATTACTGTAAGAAACAGATCATATTAAGTATCTTTTGGCCCCTACAAAATTCTTTCTAATCTTGAAGGCTTTTTTCAAATTGGAGATATAGTAAGATAGGTAGAAAGTGGGCTCTTTTAGCTGCACAGAGTAGAAGCCTGTCATGGTTTATGTCTGTGGCCCCCAGGCCTCACGCATTTGCATTGTGCATTTGTGATTCGTTCATTGTCTAGCTTGGATTGATGGTGTCAGTGCTACACTCATCTAGGGGTGGAGCAAGATGTAATGTAATGGCAGGAAGAAGGTGTTTCTCGCTCTTTTGCCTGTTTCCTCTTTGCTGTTTGCAGCTGTCATGAACTGCGGCCCAGCCATGCCATTCTGCCTTGGAGTCAACTGAGTATGGACTAAAATCTCCAAAAACTGTAAGAAATAAACCTTCCTTTCCTAACTTTGGGCTTCAGGTATTTTGTCTCAGCGATGAGTTAAAAGTAACTAAGACAAAATTTGGTACTGAGAGTGGGTTCGTTGCTGTGACTATACCTAATCATGTTTTTTGAGAGGCTTTAAAAATGGCTTGTGGGCAGAGTTTTAAAAGGTTTGGACATGTAGCCTAGATGCATAGAGCTGGAGCAGCTTAGGCTGTTCCATAGAGGAGATTCTGGTAAGAGCTCAAGAGACAAGAAAACTGATAAAAAGCCTCATGGTAAAGACCAGGCTTGGGAGGTTTCTGCTGGGAAGAAGGACTGTATTGGTTGTAGGACTCCCCATGATGTGTGTTATGGCTTGGCAGAAACTTTGTTTGCATTTTGCTCATGCTGAGAGACTTTGCCTGAGACTGAGACTAAGAGGGATAGACTGATTAATCTGGAAAAGGAAATTACAAAGCAGTCAGATGTTGAGGCTGTGGCATGGCTATTGTTGGGGGCTTTTAGCCAGCTTTATGTTACAATCAAGAGCAAAAAGCCTAGCAAGGTAATTTACAACTCTGTAAATTTGGCCAGAAAGAATATTTTAGAAAGGCTGTAGACTGTAAAGACAGAGTTAAAACTTTGAGTGACGAAAAAAAAACCCAGGAGAGTTAAAAAAGATGGCCCTGGGGCAGCAGGTCCCTACCCTTTGCAGCCTCAAAATTGCAAAATTTGCTCAGAAAAAAAGTTGCAGAGCACCATACTCCAGAATGGCAACGGAGGCCACATGAGGTTCCAAAATGGTGGCAACATAGAGAAGCTTTTCTTCACTATCAGGTTCATAGAGCCCAGTGATCCAGACAATCAACCCCTACAGCCAAGAGAGAGAAAAGCCTGGCTACTGCTCCAGCTGGCAGCAAACCTTGGTGGCATCCACATGGTGCTGATTTTAGGTGCAAAAAAATGCACAAATTCTGAGGGTAAGACAGCTTCCATCTTGATTGCAAAGGGCCTGGGAGGCCAAGCAATGTGCTCCTGAGAAGGCAATTTGTAAAGATATAAGGGTAAAGCCAAAGGTGCAGTGGAGACCTCAGAAGTTTGGAAAAGCCAGGAATGTGGATGATCCAAGGAAGGCTGCAAAAAGTGAGCAGAGAGGGTATTAAAAAAAAAAAAGCTGCCAGAGCTAAAATCCCTAAAAGTGCCCTGGGGGTAGAATCACCCAAGCCTTTTGGAGTTTGCAACCAGATTGCTTCAAATGCTGAGCATGGAACCCTAGGACTTAATGTTCACCCTGCTGGATGTTGGACTTGCTTTGCTTCCAATGCTTTATATTCCCCTGCTTGTAACTTTTGGAATGGTAATGTTTGTCTTCTGCCTTTGCATTTCAAAAATGTTTAACCTTGTTTCATTTGTACAGGGGGTTACAGGTAAGAGTTTGATCTTGGAGGAGACTTGGGACTTGGACTTTTCAGCAATGCTTGGTCTTGGGCAACTCTTGGAGATGGACTGAATGTCTTTTGTATAAAGGATGTACATGAGTCCTGGGGGCCAGGGATGGAATGCCATGGTTTATGTTGGTGGCCCCCAGGCCTCAGGCATTTGCGATTGGTTCATTGTCTACCTTGGATTGATGGTGTCAGTGCTACACCCATCTAGGGGGGAGCAGGATGTAATATAATGGCATAAAAAAAGGAGTCCCTAGCTCTTTTGTCACTTTCCTCCTTGCTGTTTGCAGCCGCCATGAACTGTGGCCCAGCCATGCCACCCTGCCTTGGAGCCAACTGAGTGTGGACTGAAACCTCCAAAAACTGTAAGAAATAAACCTTTTTTTCTTCAACTTTGGGCTTCTGGTATTTTGTCTCAGTGACCAGTTAAAAATAACTAAGACAAGGCCAAATCCCTTAAACAGTACAATTCGGGACAGGGATTAACTTTCTCATACGTTACTTTGGGAAACTTCCTAACGATGCCCTCTTGCCTTCTGAGCCCTGCCCTGTTTGTAATTGCTCTTCTCCATGGCAGTTCTCAGGTATCTAGTGCGGTAAGCATCTATGGACCTTGTATCTCACTGTGTTAAACACTCCCTCTAATATTCATTTTCTAATATGAGAATATCATTCTTTCACTGTGATTTGCCCACCATTGTTAGAGTCCCCAGGAAACTGAGAATTAAAATCAGTTCTGCTTTGCTGCCAGACATGATACACTTAATGGCCTAAGATGCCTTTTCCCCCAGAAAATTAACTTTGGGATGAACTCATGTCTGGTTATGAGAGTCTGTTGACATCTCCATCTGTTCTTAGACTTGGACTACATCATGCAGACAACCAGGTCTTATGAACAAGTCCCTTGAATGCTACTCATGTTAAGAAGTCCTCCTGACTTAGCCTAAGTGCTTTTGGCTCAAGAGCCTCTAAAGCAGTGGTGGTCAACCTGCAGCATGCACTCCACAGCAGGATGATTGCATCATTGAAAGGTTCACCCACTGCTAAAGGGTGTGGACACTCACTTATGAAGGGCCTGACTCCAGTTACAGCAAACCTCTTAAAGTGTTCAATGACAAGAGCTGACTGTGGCACGTATGCCATAGTTTTGGCATCACCCACCTTGTCCTACTCATGCTTTGAATTCTCCATTTTCACATTCATTTTCCCTGGGCACAGTTCTTACATTTTGTCTGGCTTGTGGTGGAAACAGAAGAGCTTCCCCTTCTTACTCATTTGGAAAATTTCTTTCAAGTGAAACCCTACCAATTAGGTGATATAATGACTAACAAATGAAAGAAAATTGAAGCACAATACTGAATTTACTTTAACCTGAGGTAGGTAAATAAAAGGTGTTGTACTCTAAGAAAATAGCTTAGTTGTATGTGTATTATAGCAAACCTGTAAAGTGGCTTACTAAATGTGTTTGTTTTATCCTTTTTCCCTAACTGATATGTTAAGTGATCTAATTGATATGTTGAGCAACACTCTCCTCTGTAAAGAATTGCAAGAATCTCACCTAATTGATATGTTAACCATCGTTGCCCTCTACAAACTACAGAAGTTGTGCTAAAACAAGCTAACAAGGGTTGTTAATCACTGTTAGGTGCCTCTATTCTCTGCTAAAGAGCTAAAGAAAACTAGAATGGCCCATTAATGTACATTTGTTTAAAGTAACCTGGTTGTGTGCAGAGAGATTTGTGTATGAGTTTAACCCTTTACCCTGACCTTGACACATAACCGCCGTTTTCTGTTCTGTATGGCGCCTTATTGCCTCCCTCTCCCCTCACCTATCTATCTAGGCCATAAAGAATTTGGGTTTCTGGTGACCTCTCCCCGACCCAGTGATGATCTGTATAAAATGAGCCTGCCCCAATTTTAAGAACTGCTTAGCTTAAAGAAATTACCGGGTAATACTATGGCCCAAACCCCAATCGGTGCTTTCCTTTTGTTCTGTATGTATCAAATGAGTTAGATATCAGATCTTTGTAAAACTTAAGTTCCAGCATCTCATAACTCATGACCCCTTCGCACTCACTAGCGAAGATGAGCTGTGCTGGGATAATTAATTTCCCCACTTTCTTCTCCAAATATTGCTGCAGATGTGCCACTCCGAGATAATGTCAGTCTGTAGGATGGGAGTAATTTGAGAAACACCAGGAACTCCCGAGATTGTCAGAGCTAAGTGGACAGCAATACAGTTTCTAGACTCGGGTCAACAAGTTTGATGGCTCTGCAGGTTTCTTTGTCTCCCCCCACCCTTTTCCTCCAGCCTCTTTTTAAAGTCCTCCCTTCAGTCTCTGGGACACAGTCTCCAAATTGGCTCCCAGAGACTGGTCACTGGCCTGGAAATAAAGCCTTTGCCACCTAAATTTTCAGTCTCTTGCCTCCTTGGATTTTATACTGGGGCCCAAGTTATAACAAAAGGAATGCAGAGCATTCTGGAAGGAACAACAATAAAACATGATGCTGGGGATTTAGCTCAGTGGTGTCAGTAGCTTCCTGGCAAGCACGAGGTCATGAGTTCAATCCTTGGTACCAAAAAACAAAGCAAAACAAAATAATGAAAAAGTGTTCCTCTTGGGTGATGGGACTGGGTAATATTTTCACTGTCTCCTAATAGCATTATACAAATGCAAATCTTCTTCAATGGCCCAGTGATTTTGGACAATAAGAAAAATGACATAAAAATGCTAGGGAACAACACAGAACATAGTATTACAAATAACTGTAAGGCAGGAAAAGTTGTAGTGGTACTGAATGCCCAGTTTGTAGTGTAAAGGTCATTGCTGTTGTCATGATGCACAAACCACAGTCTTGTGGGATGTAAAAAGAATGTGCATTTTTCAGTCGGGCATCTTTAAAGGAGTAGGTATGCCTTTTAGCCTCTCCTTTCTTGCTTGCTGTAAGGCAGGAGTGGGAGTTAGTCATATAAATGGAAACAAGAGTCAAGGGTTGGATGAATTTCCAAGAACAGCGTGGAGCTCACGGATAGGAGGAAAAAGAGTGTACAATTCTTCAATAAGTTGGGACCCAGAGATGATGGGTTGAGGCTTTGAGGCAGAGAAAGGCTCAGAAGTGGGACTGGAATTAATGAAGAGTTGTATGAAGCAGATCTACTCATATGATCTTTCACATGCTATTTAGAAATTAAAAACAAAATTGAAGCGTAGAGTCCCACATTTCAATAAACTGTCTTGAAAGTGTTATCAAATTTTGTTCCATCCCAGATTCAACTCACTAAAAGCTGTATCAGTGGACTGCTAGCTCTTAAAGAAAGTGTCTCAGATCTCTTTCCCACACTTCTACGCTAATTAGACAAAGATCAGTGGGAAGTGAGAATCTGCCAGGTGTTAGGAGTTAATATTGGAAAAAGGGAAAATATGTATGAAAGGACTTGTAGAAATCAATCTATTTAAGGAAATAGGAGTTAATATTGGAAAAAGGGAAAATATGTATGAAAGGACTTGTAGAAATCAATCTATTTAAGGAAAAATTTCAGTCTTTTTTTAAAAGGGTAGGGAATAGTGGAAGGAAGTTGTTTTCAAAAGAAGAGAGCAAAAAATGTTAAAGTCGTCTAAAAATTTTAAAGTTGTTTTTAGACATACTAATTATGCACTATTCTCCCCAACTTTGTTCCATTTTTATGCTATTTTTAGTATATCAGTTTATGAATTTTTTATTGAAATTCATTTCTAATCATTAGTGAATGAAGATAAGTATTGGTAACTCAACCAATCAACAACCAACCAATTGATGCACATTTAAGTAAAACAAAAATGATATATAAAATAAAACCTTAATTAAAAATGATTAGGTGAAACTATATTAACTGTTTATTTTTTATTTTGAACCAAGTAAAATAAAAAAGCAAAACAGGAAAAAGCAAATCAGAATAGAACAATGCAATCAACACAGGACTTTAAAACAAACAGGAAATCAACAAGGGCTGCTATAATGTTTCTTTTTTTTTCTTCAAAATAGTTATCCATACCTTCACACACAATAAAGTCAACCCAAACAATAGAATAAATCAATCAAAACAAAAGAATGAAAATATTATATGATCTCAAAAGAAGACAATAGGAAATCAACAATGACTACCACAGTGTCTCTTGCTTTCTTCAAAATAACTGTTCATACTTTCACATATAATGAAATACGGCAATAGAAAACAGACTAAAACCAATCAAAACAAAAGAATGAAAGCATTACAGGATTTCAAAACAAGATAACAGGAAATGAACAGTGGTTACTAAATGTCTCATTTTCTTCAAAACAGCTGTTCATACTATCACATATAATAAAATCAAATAAAACATAACAATAAAATCAATCAAAACAAAACAATAAAAGCATTATAGAACTTCAAAACAAGATGATAGGAAGTCAACAATGGCTACCATAGGTCTTATTTTCTTCAAAACAGCTGTCCATATCATCACACATAATACGATCAAACAAAACAAAACAGAATAAAACCAATTAAATAAAAGAATGAAAAGCATTATAGGATTTAAAAACAAGATATTAGGAAGCAAACCATGGTTACCATAATACATCCTGTTAACTTTTAACAGCTGCTAACTTTTAATATACCATCAGACATAGTAAAATCTAACAAAATGAAACAAAACAGAACAAAATCAAACCTAACAAAATTATGAAAATGATACAAGAGCTCAAGATAAACCAATAAGAAATTAGCATGGTTACCACCTTCCCCTACTAAGTGTTTCCTCCCCTGGCATTTTCATAATATCTATTGTGCTTTTTGGGTCCTACTAACTCCTTCTGCTTTTTATACTAGGGTTGACCTGTATAACTTCAAACCATTTTGCCCATGAACATTTGTACCCATTTGCCCATCTCCAATTGTACCCATTTACCTACAAGAGTTCTGAGATTATCTTATTTACAGCTGTGTAGCTTTCCACTGTATGAAAATACAATCTTTCTTATCCATTCTACATAGCTTTCTTGCCCATTCTGCAGTTGATGGACAAGTTACCCTTTCTTTTTTCTGGTCTCCTGTCACATGGAACAATGGTTTTCTCTCCTTTGATTTTCAGTCTAGGAATTTCCTTTCAGGTTAAATGTGTTTCTTGTATACAGTATATCGATGGATCTTGTTTCTTGATTCATTCTCCCTGTGTTTCTTTTTATTGCTGTACTGAGGCCATCTACATTAATGGTTACAACCAGCATACATTGGTTCACCTCTGCCCTGCTATCCTCCTGCTGTTGGTCCTCCACTTTTCCCCTTCATTCAGTTGCCTGTCTTGTTTGGTGATTCTCCTCTGCTGCTGTTCCTGAAACCATGCTC